ACACAGTCTTCACAAATGCAAGTGTTGCTGATAATGGGGTTGAGGGAGGAAAGTGCTGAGCTTGCTCACTTGCTCAGTCTTTTTTTTTTTGTTTGAGACAGAGTCTCGCTGTGTTGCCCAGGCTGGAGTGCAGTGGCCGGATCTCAGCTCACTGCAAGCTCCGCCTCCCGGGTTCACGCCATTCTCCTGCCTCAGCCTCCCAATGTGTTGCCCAGGCTGGAGGGCAGTGGTACAATCTTGGCTCACTGCAACCTCCGCCTCCTGGATTCAAGCTATTCTCCTGGCTCAGCCTCCTGAGTAGCTGGGATTACAGGTGCCTACCACCACACCCAGCTAATTTTTGTATTTTAAGTAGAGACAGGTTTTGACCATGTTGGTCAGGTTGGTCTCAAACTCCTGACCTCAAGTGATCTGCCCGCCTTGGCCTCCCAAAGTGCTGGAATTACAGGTGTGAGCCACTGCGCTTGGCCAAAACATTAAAAAAAATTAGCTGAACATGGTGGCAGATGCCTGTAGTCCCAGATAGTCCAGAGGCTGAGGCAGGAGGCTCTCTTAAGCCCAAGAGGTTGAGGCTGCCGTGAGCCATAATTGTTCCACTGCACTCCAGCCTGGGCAACGAAGCGAGATCCTGCCTCAATAAATTAAATTAAATTAGATTAAAAACCTTTATTGCCTTGTCTACTTATTATCTATTTATTGAAGCCTGTCTCCTGTTGGAGTGGAGGGAATGAAGAGGTGGGCAGCAAAGTCAAGCTGGTTCATCCATTGATTGGATGTTAAAATCAATGTATATGGAAAGAGGTAAAACAGAGTAAGACATTTAACACATTTTAAAATCCCAGGCAGATGGGAACTAATTTTTTATCCTTTCTCTGCCTCAGTTTTCTTTATTCAAATAATGGGACCAATAGACCTCTGTGTTATTGGGTTATCTAAAGAAATAACTAACAGCAATTAGTGAAGTATAAAACCAAGGGTTGAAATGGGAAATTAGGCTGCATATCCTAATGTCTAAATCACTCCCAGGTTGTGAACTAGGGACAGAGAAAAGTTATCACCCTTTCCAACTAATTAATATTGTCTCATCCTGAGGATTTCCATTTTCAGACCCACCCTCTGGCTCTGACATGTTTATTTCTAATTCTGAGAGCCCAACCGAATAGTCATTGGAGAAGTTTCAGTCCCTGGGAAATTCCAAGAAATATCATTCCATGCACACCACGGACTCTAGAATGGATATTCCTGTGCATTAGCTCACCAGGAAAAGGAACACTCTGCTGTACTCTGCTAGATTTTCTTGCAAGGATTCATGAGCAGATCTGTTTCCGATGCAGAATGTCTGAGCAGAAACAGAAATGATAATCATTTGAAATTGGGGATCACTTGTGACCCATTTTCACAAAGGCCTGAAATTCATCTTTACAGTTCCTTGATTCATTCATGAGACTGCCATTCATCTAGCAGCATCATGTCATGCAGCCCAGCCCAGGTCATTTGAGAGTTTGTTTTAAGTGTCCAGTCTTTAGAAATGTCTCTCCTGTGATCTCCTCTGAAAAGAGGATGGTGGGGTAGACTAGAAGCAACACTGTTTGTGTGTGGATTCCACAATGCCTCTTTAGCAATCCATGTCAGTGTGAGTTAATTTGGTTTATGTAACCCACAAATTATTTTTAGGACTTTGCTCAGGGTCAACTGCTTTATGTGTATTGCAAATCTCCCTTGTTTCATCAGGGAGGTATCTGACACAAAGAGCTCTTTACTTATTTATCAACACCAAGTAACCCATAGCTGTGTCATAATTGGAATACACCCCAATACTCAGCCTCCCGTTTTGGATGTTTCTTTTTCTTTCTTTCTTTCTTTCTTTCTTTCTTTCTTTCTTTCTTTCTTTCTTTCTTTCTTTCTTTCTATTTATTTATTAATTATTATTTTGCGACAGGGTCTCACTCTGCCACCCAGGTTGGAATGCAGTGGCACCATCTCAGCTCACTGCAACCTCAACCTTCCAGGGCTCAGGTGATCCTCCCACCTCAGCCTCCCAAGTAGCTGAGGCTACAGACATGCACAACACACCTGGCTACTTTTTGTAGAGATGGGGTTTCACCACATTGGCCAGGCTGGCCTCAAACTCCTAGGTTCAAGCCATCCACCTGCCTTGGCCTCCCAAAGTATTAGGGTTATATCTGCGTCCAGCCAGATGTTTCTTTTGCAATGCAATTCCCAGTAGCATTCTCTATCTCAGCTTTTACCCTATCTGACTGAGTTCAGGAAGGACTGTTATTTCAGGTCTGCCTATCCTGGTCATTTATGAAGGGTATTACAATGGTCCCATTTTACAGAAAAGGAAACAGTCTTAAGGAGAGGAAAGAATATACCCTAGTTGATGGAGGAAAAGCCAACTAAGTTAGCCAAAAAATTACTGATTCCTTTTGATTAAAAAAAAAAAAAAAAGTCATTTATCTTTGCTTCCAGAGTTTCAGACCCAATGATCTCCTATCTTTCATGTCATCCTCTATAACTGGCTTCCTGCTTAGTTCTCCTCCTCATCAAGTATGGGTTCACATTATTGGGCTTAATTAAAATCACTTGGCAGATTTTTTTCCATATTGTCAATAGCACACATACCTTTGCTCTTTAACCAATCACAGAAGAATTTTCTTATTCTCTATTATCCTTTAGGTACTTAAAAAGAGCTTTAAATAATGTTCAAAGGAAGCCACTATCAATTGCAACTTGAATAATTCATTTGTAAAAAAAATTAAAAATTTGTAGTGAGATATTATAAATTGAAAGTGTTATTGGATCCTTTGTTTCAGAATATTTGCTTGAGGAAATGACCAAGAACTTAAAATCTGTTCTAACATTGACCCCTGAGAGACATAATAAACATGGAAAGAGTGAAGAGTGTGGAATTGTTTAAAACCTGGTTTTGTCAAGGTAGAGATACCTTTACGTTGTATATATTTTCCTCTTCTTTATTAATGGTACAAGCAGATAATTACGTTAAATGTTAAATGACTCCAGGACAATGAGAATTAAATTGGCCTTAATAATAATGTGTCTGATTTTTGCCCACTCTGAAAATATAAGGACATGCCCTCCCTGGGAAAGTTTGAATGGAAAAATTGTCTATCTTTTATTCCTCCCTAAATAGTGGCTTCTTTAATAATAATAATAATGAATATCAAATTTTAAGATGGCTTCCTCTATCATGACTTCAGTTTATATTCCACTTTAGGGAGAAGTTGAAATCTCTGGGAGGTGGTTGCACTCATTAATTATTTGCATTTAACATATATTTGCTGAGTACCTGACGTGTACTAATCAGATACTCTGCTAAATGTTAGGGACAGGCAAATGAGTAAGACATAGGCCTTGGACTTGGACCAAGGAGAAATATGTTTAGAAAAATTAATTAAAGCACACATTTTAGTGAAGAAATTAGGAAAGATTTCATGGTAGAGACAATATTGGATATGGTCCCAGAAGACTGAGTTGCCGTTTATTGCTTGGAAGAGGGAAGAATTATGCAGAAGGGCAGAAGTAAGAAAGTTGGACATTTTAAGTTCAGGAGGTAAATATCTCAAAGTATTTCAAGGTAAATGACAACTTGTCTTAGAGTTTTATAAAATTCGAAGCCAAAGTTCATCAGTAAATTTTCTTTTCTCCAGTGCTATAAGAAATCTAGTTTGTTATAACAGTGATGTCATTTTAATCTGAGGCACTGTCTAATTGCTTCAATGGCCAGACTTAAATAGTCTTTTCACAATATTTTTTCTCTTAAATTTCTGGTGGGCCAAAGAGATGCCAGTAGAGGAGTGAGTTGAAATTAGGAGATCTGAATGGTGACAGAGACTGGTCACTTTTTCCCCAAACACGCTCATCAAAGAGCATGTTGTAAGATGCTTGAGCACTGTAATGTAGATGCTGTTCTAAGACTTCATAGAATTGGACACTGATGCCTAAAGTTAGTGAGTGTAAACCTTGGGATTGAGAGCGGCTTTTTAAATTCACATGGAATCATAGAAGTTAGGCAGGGGTGCAATGATACAAAACTGGAGGCCTTGTTCTGTTCTAAATGATTATATATGATAGTGAGGAGGGCTCTTTCTATCAGCAGACATTTTGGCATGATTTGACATGGTTGTACATTTTAATGTTTTTTTCACTTTCCTTATGAGCCCTTTTTTATTTTTTATTTTTATTTTTTGAACTACCCATCCATATCTACAGCCTATTTTTCTCTTTTTTTTAAATGTATTATTATTTTTTGAGACAAGAGTCTCGCTCTGTTACCCAGGCTGGAGTGCAGTGGTGCAGTCTTGCCTTACTGCAAGCTCCGCCTCCCAGGTTCAAGCAATTCTCCTGCCTCAGCCTCCCGAGTAGCTGGGACTACAGGCGCAAACCACCATGCCCAGCTGATTTTTTTATTTTTAGTAGAGACGGGATTTCACCATGTTGGCCGGGCTGGTCTCGAACTCCTGACCTCAGGTGATCCACCCACCTCGGCCTCTCAAAGTGCTGGGATTACAGGTGTGAGCCACCATGCCTGGCCTCACTTTCATTACGATATAGGTGATCAAGTATCACTTTACCTCAAATCACTCACTTTAGGTATCTCCATGCATTCATTCAAATAGACTTCTATAGAACAAATTCTTAGGCACTGAGGATAAGAAAGGAAAGAAAGAGAGAGAGCGAGAGGGAGGTAGGGGAGAAAGTAGGGAAGAAGGAAGGAAAGAGGGAGGGAAGGAAAGAAAGAAAAGAAAGAAAAATATCCCTGCACTTAAGGTGCTCTTACTGTGGGATTGTGAAGAGTATGTTAACGTGCTGAAAGGTAGTCTGAAGACTTTATAAACTATGCTCACTTTTGGAAGGTACTGTAGCAGTGACAGTGGTTAAGGATTAAGATTAAGAGAAATCACTTCAGTGGAAATTGTACCCTATATAGTCATTTGAAACGTAGCTCCTTTAGAATGTGCAAACTTTCTTCTCATCAAATGCAGGATCATTTAATCATCACAACTTCAGTAGTCTGGAAATGTCAGCATGCCATGAAAGTTGGTGTTCAAGAACATGACTGGAAAAATACTTCAACCCTCAGTCCACTTGGATGAAGCCAAGGAATCCACTATCTTTTCTATTCCAGCTGTACCTGTCAAAGTAATTTATCAGAATTAGTGCTCTTTTTGATGATGTAATAGTGAGCCGACACATAATTTTACTATATCTGATAAGCAAATTATTAGCTCATGCCAGAACAAAAAGGAGAGACATTGCCACTCAAAATTGATTATTTTACGTAACACAGGGACCACCCATAGACTACACAGGATTATCACAGAACTTCAGAAATTCTTGAATCTCATTTTGAGAACCACTTTTCCATTGTACTTTATTCTGGTGTTTTCTTGGATAGCATATATCTGGGATATATAGCCAGAAAGTTTATGCTTCTAGTAAGGCCAGAGATAGAAACTTGAGCTGTGTGGATACAGGAATACTTCAGAAAAGCCTCAGGCTAATATAGTCAGACTTTACTCACTGGATTGCCTGGAAATAATTTTTAGTCGGTGTTATGAACTGAATGTTTTCGTCGCTCTGTGAGGCAATAGCAAGAAGGTGGCAGTCTGCAAGCCAGGAAGAGAGCCCTCAGCAGAAACCAAATGGGCCAACACTTAAATCTCAGACTTCCCGCCTTCAGAACTGTAAGAAAATTAATTTCTGTTATTAAAGCCACCCAGTCTATCGTATTTTGTTATGGCAGCCCAAGCAGACCAGTACAATCAGAATAGGGTTTTTTAGGGGAAAGTAGAAAGTTGCTTTTTATTCAATGTGATGTTTAGCATTCCGGCCATATGTGCACATCTTATAAGAGATGCTAAATCAGTTTTTGGATTACTTTTCAAGAAGCCTAAAATGAGTCTGGGTTTTCTACGACTTTGGTAGATAAACATGCAATAGAGAAAAAGTTCACCTCATTTAAATTTTTCCTTTTTCCCCTTTTTACCTGTCTCTACTACCAAATAGTTGTCATCACTGCAGTAGTCTTTGGGCACATGCATAAACTACACACAGACACATACACACACAGACACACACACACACACACACACTCACACACACACGCAGACTCCCATGCATATGCTCCCTGACGATGCCATGAATTTTAGGAGTTTGCCTATTTAATTGCCACTGATTTAAATTGATTTCAAAATGAAATGAAACAAATTAAGTAATCTTTAGGTTTTATTTCATCCAATCACCAAGCAAGAGCAGTAACCTTAATTAAAAGAATGGTGGTATGGCCTAGATTTCCTATCTAGCAAGGAGATTTATGGCTTAAATGACATCAAAAAAATGAACCAATAGGGTACTATTTGTGATTCTATGTTAAAAAGGGGGAAATATTTTACAAGACTCATGAGCCATTATTTTAAATCCTTTTGTAAATATGACTTAGTTCATCGTCTTTTCTGATTATATTTATGTTAACTCCCAAGTAGAACTTCTGCTTCCTTTTTTGAAATGCCACCAACAGCAGTACCATTTTCACTAATACAAACAATGTTTATAGTGCCCAGAAATGGTATTAGGAATATAGGACTCTTTCATTATTTGTAAACTAGACATTCCTCAAAGAGGTGCCCTATTTAGTTCTAGTTTAGCTTTTTGAACAAAACCATTTAAATATTATAATTCTTAAGTTCTTCATGAAATTTTCATATTTCTATAATAATTGTCATTAGGTAGATAAAAGAATATTATAATTTTTATTTCTAAAAAATATAATTTGCATACCTAAATGGATTAGGAATTATATTATAGATTTATAATACAAAACAATTTTGGCTTTTTAGGTCAGTGATGGGTTCACTAAATTCTTAGGAACGTAACTATAACTTTGTTTGTACTGAAGTTTTATCTTTAGAAGACTAAAATATTTTAACTCCATGAAACATCTAAGCAAGACATTATTGTGTGGTGCTTAGGAAGAAGAATTTGGAGAAGATTAACTGAGTTTAAACCCTAACTTTACTAACTACATAACCTTGGGAAAGTCACCAGGGCTTTCTCTTACATTGATTCCATATTTGTAAAATGGGGATATTAATAAATTTGTTCTCACAAGTTTGCTTTGATGATTAAATTAGTAAAGATTTGTTACAGAGAACAGCAAAATAAAAGTGTTCACTCTTGGTAATAGGCATTACACAGCAGTCAACGAAAGTTTGAGAAGGAAAAAAATAAAAAATATGCACTGTCTGGCACAACCAAATGGAAAGGAGTCTTAGAGGTCCTAAATTATGACGTACACTGTTACATCCACTGCAGGAACCAGGATATTAACTACAGATGTTATTGAGTCTTCCTAATTCAGCATCTTTTCTCAGTAATACCTGAAGACAATGTTTATAACACTTAGAGATGATAAAAAGATAACTAAGACTTATTAAGAATAACGGAGTAAACTGCTTTGACTTCCATCTTTATTATCTAGGGTTCTCTGGTCTTCAAAGTTGATACACTTGGCATTTGACCCCTTTTCTCTGACATGTTTAGCTATTGATCCATTTGATTATTCTTTCTGTCTTAATTTAGTCCAAACTTGGATCATCATCTTTCTTCTTTGTCACCTACTCCTTTCTGTTCTTTCTGCTGCTCACCATAATCCCACCTTTCGCAAACTCAAGATGACTTTTTTTCAAGGAATATATGCTCTCCCACCTCACCTGGTTGCTTATATCCAGCTGTGCTGCTTCTAGTAGCATAAGAGATGCACCATGTGTCATTGGAGTGAATGATGGTTACTGTTCTGCTAGTTCTCAATGGTAACAACCTTAGGTGATTCCTCACCAGTACCTTCAATGAAGGTAGGGAGGAACGGTTTTATGGTAGGACATGCCAGTTTAAAGGTAGTGATCGGATCTTCCTACTTAAAATCATGAGTAGCAGAAGAGAGAACCACGTATCTTGGGATCTGAACTGGTGACCTAAACATGAGTTTCAGCACCTGTTAAATACCCCAGAGCTATTCCAGCTCTTAAATTGATTCTTTGCTGCTCATTTGAAAACAAACATTAAGGAGGAGAAAAAGGGCATGCTGAACACCAAGCATGAATTAAAGACCTTTAGAAAATTTGATATTTACTTGCCCAAGCATGCACAATGGAAGACTTGTCTTATTGAATTCATACTGTATCAAAATGACTTCTCAGAAAACACCTGTTGAAAAAAAGCATTTGTTCAAAAGAGAGTAATTTAGATAAGGGAAGTAAGAAGGCCTAAAGATGGTGACAAGTCCATGCCTTTGTATTAGTCTGTTTTCACACTGCTTTAAGAATTACCTGAGATTGGGTAAATTATAAAGGAAAGAGGCTTAATTGACTCAGTTCTGCATGGTTGGGGAGATCTCAGGAAACTTACAATCATAGCAGAAGGTAAAGAGGAAGTGAGAACATCTTACATGGTGGCAGGAGAGAGCAAAGAAGGAAGTGCCACACTTTTAAACCATCAGATCTTATGAGAACTCACTCACTATCATGAGAACTGCATGGGGAAAACTGCCCCCATGATCCAGTCACCTCTCACCAGGTCCCTCCTTCCACATGTGGGGATTAAAATTCAAGATAAGATTTGGGTAGGGATACAGAGCCAAAGCATATAACTCCACCCCTGTTCCTTCCAAAATCTCATGTCCTTTTCACGTTTCAAAATCAATCGTGCCTTCCCAACAGTCCTCCAAAGTCTTAGCTCATTTTAGTATTAACTTAAAAGTTCAAGTCCAAATCTCATCTGAGACAAGGCAAGTTCCATCTGAGGCAAGGCAAGTCTCTTCCACCTATGAGTCTGTAAAATTAAAAATAAATAAATAAATAAATAAATAAATAAATAAATAAATAAACAAACAGGATAGTTACTTCCAAATACCATGGGGGTACAGGCAATATTACCATTCCAAAAAGGAGAAATTGTTCAAAACAAAAGGGCTACAGGCCCCATGCAAGTCTGAAATCCAGCAAAGTAGCCATTAAATTGTAATGCTCCAAAATAAACTCCTTTGACTCCATGACTCATATTCAGGCAATGCTGATGCAGGAGGTGGGCTCCCAAAACCTTGGGCAGCTGTTCTTTTGTGGCTCTGAGGGTACAGGCCCCACGGCTGCTTTTATAGGCTGATGTTGAGTGCCTGTGGCTTTTCCAGGCACACAGTGCAACATGTTGGTGGATCTACCATTCTTGGGTATGGAGGATGGTGGCCCTCTTCTCACAGTGGTAGTCTGCCGTGCCCCAGTGGGGACTCTGTGTGGGGTCTCCAATCGCACATTTCCCCTTTGCACTGCCCTAGTAGAAGTTCTACATGAGGGCTCTGCCCTTGCAGCAGACTTCTGCCTGGACATCCAGGTGTTTTCATACAACGTCTGAAATCAAGGCAGAGGCTCCCAAAGCTCAATTCTTATCTTTTGCACACACACAGGTCCAACACCATGTGGAAGACACCAAGACTTGGGACTTGCACCCTCTGAAACAATGGCCTGAGCTGTATGTTGGTCTCTTTTAGCCACAGCTGAAACTGAAGCAGCTGGGATGCAGAGTGCCATGTCTCGAGGTTGCACAGAGCAGTGGGGCCCTGGGCCCAACCCATGAAACCATTTTTCCCTCCCAAGCCATGAAGATCTCTGAAATGGCCTGGAGACATTTTCTCCATTGTCTTAGCAGAAATTCTGCCAGTCTCTTTGCTAAAACATAGCAAGAGTAGCATTTGCTCCAGTTCCCAATAGGTTCCTCATCTCCATCTGAGACCACAACAACCTGCACTTCAATGTCCATATCACTATCAGCATTTTGGTCATAACCATTCAACAAGTCTCTAGGAAGTTTCAAACTTTCGCACATCTTCCTGTCTTCTTCTGAGTCCTCTAAGCTCTTCCAATGTCTGTCTGTTACCCAGTTCCAAAGTCACTTTTACATTTTCAGGTTATTTTTATAACAATGCCTCTCTCCTGGTACCAATTTTCTGTATTAGTCTGTTTTCATACTGCTATAAAGAACTACCTGAAGCTGCATAATTTATAAATGGAAGAGATTTAATTGACTCACAGTTCAGCATGGTTGGAGAGGCCTCAGGAAACTTTCAATCATGGCAGAAGGTGAAGGGGAAGCAAGACATATCTTACATGATGGCAGGAGAAAGAGAGCAAAGAAGGAGGTGCCACACTTTTAAACCATCAGAGCTTGTGAGAACTCACTCACTATCATGAAAGCAGCATGGAGAAAACAATCCCCATGATCCAATCACCTCCTACCAGGTCCCTCCGTCGACACATGGCGATTACAATTTGAGATGAAATTTGGGTGGGGACACAGAGCCAAACCATAACACCCTTCATCCATTCCTGTATCCTTTTTTCATTGAAACTCAAGTAAAATAACCCAGGGAGTATAATATTGTGGTGCGGTGGAAATAACTCTATCATGATGCCAGGGTGTGGGTTCAAGGTTTGTTATCTAGAAAAGTAATTTATTTCTCTGAATTTCAACATCTATTCCTATGAAGAGGTAATAATATCTACTTTACAGAACAGCTGTAAAGATTAAATTAGAACTTTGTATGTTGCTTTAAAAATATTTGTTATTTTATTGTTTATTTTATAAACAAAAATTAATTTTGGTGGTATGGATCTGAATAATTAGGATCCCAAAATGTTGTTTTCTATTAAACTATATGGATATTTTTGACTTTTCTTCCCCAGAAATTCATAATCTTCATGTCTTCTGCTCTGCAGTGTGTGAAGTACAAAGAACTCAAACATAGGAACATAAAAAATTTGAATTCACACTCTGGCTAAGGTGCTCTGGATTCACTTAGCAGTTAGTGCTAGTCAAGTCTTGTATCCTTGGTTTTCCTTTCCATAATATGAAGTTAGCAATACCTACTTTGCAGAGTTTTAGAAAGGATTGTTGGTAATGTATGAAGGTGCTTAGCGCAGTGAATAGTTCATAGTAAACAATGATTGTAAATTATATTGGGATTCTTTTCTTTTTGATATGCCTTCATATTATCATCAAAAATATGGGTTTGTCTATGTTCGTAACTACTTTATAGGTCTTCAAGCATTGTGCTTATTTGGTGGTAAATGCTGACAAGATTGTACCTTGAAAAACAGGATCATTTGCATTGATAAAAATTATTTAAAAATTAAATATCTCAAAGTTCTTTTCCTTTCAGATAGTGTAGTTGGAAATTCTTTAGAAACTCAAGTTCTGTAAGGGACACAGACATTTTAGGTCATGGTTACTGCCTTCAGGAAACTTATACCCTGGTCGGAGGCATTGTTTTCACTAGTATCTCTGTCCAGTGAAATGATATCTTTGTATAGTGACTGGGCTGTGAGGTAAGAAAAGGAAAAATGCTTTCAGAGATTAGACTGATGTCTTTAAAGTCATTCTTCGGTCAATGGAGATGAGTCGTGGGGAATCGGGTAGCAGGGAGGCAGACAGGGCATGAAAGTCTGCTAACTTTATATTATGTGTCAAGCGCGGTACTAGGCAATTCACATCCATTGTTTTAGTTCATCCTAAAAATAATACTATGAGATGGATTGTAAAATATTGACTTTATGCTAAAAAATATAGTAACCTCAGGAAGGTGAAACAACCTTGTCTAAGATGACATACCCAATAAGTGTTGGAAATGGGATTTCAATCGTTAATAGGGGGAGATTAGAAAGTGGGTTTTATTCAATTTAATTGAAAAATCTTTATAAAATTTAAGTATCTCACCATCTCCAAATATTCCTTAATTTATCTCCTGGATTTCCTCCTTTTCTTCTCTGTTGGGCCCCCACTGAGTTCAACGCTAGTTTGTGGAACCCTCTGATCAGGGCAAGAGTTATAGCCATTCTTACAGTGCACATGGCCCAAACGGCTTATTTTTTAATCTGTGTACTTTTAGCAAGGAGAAAAACTGACAGTTATTTCAGATGTGCTAGTCTTTGGTATCAAATAGAAAGAAACTCATTCAGCATAATTTATTGTAAAAATGTTGTACGGAATATACCACAATTAAGATACACAATTCAATCATTTATCCTTTCACTTAACGAATATGAGTGATCATTGCTCCCACCCCCTAGTCACAAAACTTTATAAAGCAGTTTTAGATAATCAGTACAGTCAGCTGCATGTAGCAGAAAATCAAATTAACATGGCCTAGCTGAAAATAATTTTTTGTGTAAAAAGAAATCTGATGATGGACAATTCGAGACAGGCAGAAGAAGGGTGAAGAGATCATGAGTCCATCACTTTTTAAAAGTGATTTTAGGTGTCCCAATTAGCAACTTCGGCTTGCATCTCGTTGGTCAGAATCCATCACATGGCCACTCCTGGCTGCAAGGAGAGCTGTGTTGTGGTTTGGAATGTAAAAATTGTAAGGAAAAGAAAAATATTATCAGAGAGGCAGAAGGAAGTCTTTCTAAAATATCAAGAATTTTAGTTAGCCTCTATAAAAGCAACTCAATAGCATGAAAACAAATAACCTGATTAAAAAATGGAAAAAGGCCCAAATAGACATTCTTTAGTAGAAGACATACAAATGGCCAACAGGTACTATATATGAAAAAAACATTCAACATCACTAATCACACAGGAAACACAAATGAAAAAAAAACACAAGATATCACTTCACATCTATCAGGGTGACTATTATCCAAAAAAAAAAATAACCCAAGATAACAAGTATTAGTGAGGATGTGGAGACAAGAGAACCCTTGCATACTTTTGATGTAATTTAAATTAGTACAGCAGTTACAGAATCCACAAGGAAGTTCATCGAAAACCTCAAAATAGAACTACCATATGATCCAGCAATTTCACTACTGAATATACATCCAAAGAAAAAGGAAATTGATATGTTGACAATACAGCTGCACTCCCATGTTTATTGCAGCACTATTCACAATAGCCAATATATGGAATCAATCTAAATGTCCATTAACAGTGGAATGAATAAAGAAAATGTGGTATATACATACACAATGGAATACTACTCAGTCATAAAAAAAGGAAATCCTGTCATTTCTGACAACATGGATTAACTTGGAGGGCATTATGTTAAGTAAAATAAGCCAGGCACAGACAGACAAGTACTACATGATCTGTTACATGTGGAATCTAAAAAAGATGATTTCATAGAAGTGGAGAGTGTAAGCCTGGGCGCAGTGGCTCACACTTGTAATCCCAACACTTTGGGAGGCTGAGGCAGGTGGATCACCTGAAATCAGCAGTTTGAGACCAGCCTGGCCAATGTGGTGAAACCCCATCTCTACTAAAAATACAAA